CTTCGCTTCTTCGTCTCGGTGTTGCGCCGGTCTAAGGCGTCCCACTTTTTCCGCGCCCTCCAACTCGGGAGGCCGCGCGGAGGCGAATATGCGTGAGCGCAACTGCAACGCCATCGAGCCTCGTCACGCACCCCAAACACGCGCTGACACACACACACACACACACACACACACAGACAGACACACGTAGATATATATATATATAAAGAAAGAAAGAGAGAGAGAGAGAGAGGAGGAGAGAGAGGAGGAGGAGGCGCCTGAGAAAAAGAAGAAGCGCGTGCCTTCTCCCCCGTCTGCGTGTGTCTTGCCCTTCCCTCAGCCCCGTAGAGCTGCACACAGACGCGCACAAACGCACAGTTCTTCTTATTCGTGTTGGTGGTGCCCCTGCCCTCGCAGCGGCTGCTCCCCGCCGCCTTCTGCTCGTCCCCTCCGCTGCTCACTGCCTGCGCGGGACGGAGATATAAACGCACACGGGAGAGGAGGTTCACGCTCTTCACTTCTGCAGGGCGACGCGCGTGCGCGCGGCCACCGCCCTTCTCCCACCGGCAGCACGCAGCGAAGTGCGGCATTGCAGGCGCGTCACCCCCGCTCCTCTCGCTTTTTTCTTTTTCTTTTTTCCTTCTCGTTGTTGCTTAGAATATCGTCAGCGCGGCAAACACGGCGTAGAAGAGGAAGATGGGGTACAGGATCAGGTACCGCTGCCGTTCCATGGAGAGCCCGCTCACCAGCATCGCCGTGGCGCACCACCCGGACCAGAGGACAATCAACATGGCCGGCGCAAGCATCGTCTTGCCGAGGTAGCCAAACAGCCAGTACACAACGGTCTGGCAGACGGCCAGGATGACGTTGGGAATCAGGCAGTACCCCAGGGCACTAATAATAAACTGCAGCGCAACGCCGTGGTCCGTCATCAGGGAGAGGAGGACCTTCATAAAGACAATCCCAAGCACGCAGTGACCATAGATGGTGCTGAACTGCAGCTTTCCCTGCAAGGACAAGAGGAAGGCAAGAGTAATTGCAAAGACAACCGGTCCAGCGAGGTCCATGTCTTCCACGGCCTCCAGCGCCATGGGCTTGAAGGGATTTAGAACCGCCAAGGCCTTGCAGCGTATTTGGTGCGGGAAGATTCCCAACTCCTCCAGTAGTGGGAGGTCATCCTCGGGGTATCCAAAGCGCTGCTGATAAAGTGGAACAGGCCCTTGCGGCAAACTACTTCCAAATGCATCGTGTGGCAAAATGACATTTAGCATGGACGCCACAAACCCGCTGCGTGGCTGCTGAGGCGGTTGTTGCTGCTGTTGCTGCTGGAACGGTTGTTGCTGCTGGAACAGTTGTTGCTGCTGGAACGGCTGGGATTGGTTAAAAGGTTGAGAGGCATGGAGTGCGGCTTCATGAAAGGCGGGTGCCGGCGATGGAGGCATTGCGATTGAAGAGGATGACGGCTGCTGCAAAAATGGTTTGGGCGGCGGCGGTGGCGGCGGCGGCGGCGAGGCCATCCTGTTCGTTTGATTCCTAAGCAACGGGCTGGGGCTGCCGCTATTTGGGGGCGAAGCCCGGCCAAAGGCCTTGGGAGACACACAGGAGTTGCTCCGCGAGATGGTTGGGGTCACGATGCCTATCGACATCACATGCGCGAGATGGGCGTGTTGCACCTCATGCGTTCTAGGCGGCTTCTCCTCGCCATTAAAGGCGTGGCTACTAGCGACGTGTGGGTGATACCCGGCCGGCGCCTGGTCCACGTAGGCACCGCCGCCGCCGCCGTCTGTGTAGGGCTGATAGAAAAAGCCAGTTGACGCCGGTTGCGGATACTGCGGCTGTTGATACTGCGGCGGCGGCGGCGGCGGCGGCGGCGGCGGCGAGGCATGCGTGTTCTGGTGGTGGTGCAGCTGGTGCTGTGGATAGTGCATTGCTACTAAAGTACCAACGGTGCCTTGAGAGCGTTGCCCGCAGCACACACGCAAGAAACAAACAAACAAACAAACAAAAAGGTCAGGAAAAAAGAGGAGCAGCAGCAGCGCGTTTGTGCCCTGCAGGCCTCCTCGACGCACTGCGAGGGAACCGCACAGCAGACCTGAGCCGACATTGTTTTTTTGTTTTCTTTTTCCTTCGCCCTCCCTCTCGCCCGCATCTCTCACCCGTTACACGCCATTCGCACCGCTGCCCGTAGACGACGACACATTTCGCATCCGCCTGGTGGCTGTCTGCTCGCCCCCCTCCCCGCCGCGCCCTCAGTCCAGCTCGGCGTCGGCGTCGGCGTCGGCGTCGGCGCGTGCTCCGCCCTCATCTCTACCGTCGTTGCCGCCGCCGGCGCCGCCCACGCGCCCCTCAAAGAGCGCGATCCCCTTCGCAATCCCCACGCGGGCGCCGGTCGCCAGCGCCTTGGCAATCGCCACCGTAAGAAGAAGCTGCAGCACGCCGGAGAGCAGCGGAAGCGGGCCAAACAGCAGCAGGAGGCCGCAGTAGCCGGCCGCCATGCCAAGCAGGAGCGAAGGAAACTGCGTCAGCAGCAGCTGCGGCGCGTATCGCAACAAACTTGCGAGCAGCTGCCCATCGCCAAACATCTCTCCCCCGCTGACTTTTTTCCCCCTCCTCACGCACAGACACACACCGCGAGGGAAGTTGCAATCGACCGCCCCGTTGAGGCAAGCCCAGCGGCGTCCACCAGTGCCGTAGAATGCTTGTTCCCCACCCGGGGAGGAGAGAGCGAGGGACAGACGGAAATTGGCGGAGGGCCACCCACGCAGAGGCAAGCAGCAAGCAAAAAAAAAAAGAACCCGCAAAGGGCACAAATGAAGAAGAAGCCCGCCGCCACTCACGCACGCGTGACGAAAAGAACCAAAGCAACAAGAATGAGGGGGGGGGGGGACAAAAGAGCAAAAAAAAAAAGAGTGTGAGGCGCCGTCACACCACGTCTCTCGCATTTGTCACTTGTCATTTTCCACCACCTCCCGCGCGTTGTCCCGCATCTGAAACACAAGCCAATCCATCGCCTCTCGTACCCCAGAACCGTCCAGCGCACTCACCTCTGCCAGCCGCATGATTTTGCTTCCAATACCGCTCGTCCCGGCGGCGTCCACGCCGTTGCGCGGGTGGTCACTAACCGGCAGGGGGTCAAAGAACTCATCCGCGTCGTCCGCCGTCGCCGCAGAGTGAGACTTCCCACTCGCACTCCCTCTATCATACAACTCGTGCATAAGGGCCAATTCAACCAAGCCAAGAGCCTCCTGCACCTCAGCGAGCGGGCAGTGACCCACGACATCGGCCTTGTTCGATAGAATCAGCAGCGGTGCGTTCGTCAAGAGTGGGTGACGAAATAACGCACGGAGCACAGCCGCGTTCCGCGCGAAGGCCTGGCGCTGAACACTTCTCCGTTTTTCTTCCATCTGGTGGGGCGCCGGCGACTCCGCCCTCTCCGCCGCGGCGCACGGAGCCGACACCAGTGACGTCACGATCCCGTCTGGGGAAAAGGTGGAGCTCAGATTCTCCGCGTCCAATGAGCTCACACACGACCGCCCCGAGGATGCGGCGGCCTGCTCGCCAACCTCCGCCACCGCCGCCAGAGGGGCAGAGGCACTTGCACCTGCAGCGGCGGTGGTCCCTATAGTGCTATCCACCACAAAAATGACACCATGGCAGGAGGCAAAATAGTTTGCCCAAAGCTTCAGCATTGAGCCACCCACGTCCCACAGCATGAGCCGTGTGGTGACCGGTGTGAAGGCACTAAGCGGCACACTTGAGGACAGCGAGTTTGTGGACCTGGAACTCGGCACATCATCATCTTTGTCGTGACTCAAACTCCCATGTCTCGAGGACGCCGACAGGCGCGCCGGAATGGTGCGGTGGGTGATGCGGTTCATATTCAAACCTACAGTGGGGCGTATGCATTTTGCCTTCATGACGCTTACAGGCGCCGGCGTGGGCATGACGGAACTCTCCACGCCCAACCTCCCCTGCGAAGCAGCACTACTGCTCGTTGCGTAAACACATTTCACCTGTTCCAGCAGTGTCGTCTTGCCGGAGGACTCGAGACCAACAATAAGCACCTTGTACGTGCGATCCGTAAAGAGCGCGCTGTACAGGCCCCAGGCAAATGTAAACATGGCACACGGAGCTCACACTCTTTTCTTTTCTTTTACGCTCGCGCTCGCCCCCTCCCTCCCTCCGACCCTCCAACACTACCACTACCAACGAAAGAGCATACACAGGCGCATCCGCAGAGTGAGTGAAAGGGAAACAACAACCAGGCACGGTGACAAAAGTTAAAATGAAGTGGGAAGAAAACAACCAATAAAAAAAGAAAAGTAAAAAAGGATACAAACGGGAGATAGTGTGTGTGCGAAAAAGAAAAACAATAAGGCAAGAAGGAACTGGCCCTCTTACCTCTATGGGTTCCTCCAGTAATCGTAGTACTGCCTTTGCTGAGCTGTGGGAGATTTGGACTGACTCGTTGCGGTGTTTAATGTCGGTTGCGGCCGCCTCCGCACAGGTGGCGCTGGTGCTGGGTCGAGAAGGAACGAGGCCTCCCAGGTCAGGAGGCAGCGCTGGGGGTACGTCAGTGCTGAAAAGTGACAGGGCAGCTGCAGAAGCGGCGCCGTTGGTTCGCCACCCGTGTGGCCCTCCTCCTTGAGTCCATGCCGCTGTGACGGGGCGCCATCTTCGTCCGCAGGTTCCGCCTTAACGAACGGCTCCGAGGATGTCATGGCGTCTTGAGGCCGCGCCGTAGAAGGCTCCCTCCCACAAGCTAAAAACCGCTGCTCGCCTTCTGCGTCCTCTTCCTTCTCCCTGTGCTTCTCGCCGACGACCAGGAACTCCTTCTTCACGGCTGCCTCCGCCTCATTGGTGTTCCCAGACTCCGCCATCCCTTCTTCTGCCCCCGTGCCCTGCTCACTGTGCGGCGCAGCCGGGGCAGAAGAAGGTTCATGGTGATAGCGCAGCAACTGCATCAGCGCCGGATGCATGCCGTGGAGTGGCTTTTTCTCGCTATTCTCGTCATTTGTGCAGCCATTGCGGCCTCCCGCCTCTGCCTGTAGAAGCGAATCCCTGGCCGGAAATGCAGTAAGCAGCTCGGCGTAGTTGGCATCCTTTGTCATCCTTGCATGAATTCTTTTCTCTATGTGGTTGAGGAGGGAAACAGAATCTTGCCGCTTTTCTGCTACGATTGCGCCTGCCTCAGCAAAATCCGTGCTACTTTCAGAAGGAGGAAGACGCCTTCGTGTTGAGCGAATCGGCCGCCAAACCTCTTCAAGGTTCGCTGAACGGGAGGATCTATGTGGCCTTTCAAGAGCGGGGGCCTCCGCCCCCGCCCCACACGCCGCAGCTTGGGGTTTATTTTGCGCCGTCAGCTCCAGTGCCGCTGCAGCGGACGACGAGGCTGGTGCCGGCGCTGTGGCGTGCGTCGCAACGGCGGCCTCCGCGACCGCCTTTTCCTTCAGCTTCGGTGCCTGCCTGGACGTCGCTTTTGCCCGGCTGCCCCGCACAGCAACGGCCTCAACGGTCGCCGGCGCCCCTGCTGTGGCTTGTGTCTTCTCGTTTGCTTTCGCCTTGCTCGCCTCCTCCTCCGCGTGGAGGCGGCGGCGCAGGCGGCTACTCATTTGAGGGGGACTTGTGCGGGTCGGATCGAGACGACTACGCGACCGCTTTCTAAGCCCCGCCGCTGCTTCCCCCGCGCCTGCCACCTTCGCAGGGGCCACCGCAGCATGTTGCTGTTGCTTTGCCTCTTCGTCGTCGTCGTCGTCGTCGTCGTCGTCGTCGTCTGCTCCAGTCGGTTTCCGCCCCAATTTTGCCTCTCCCAGCTTGTGTGGGGCCGCGGCAGCCTGCCCCTTCTCCTTCTCCTCCCTGCCTCCGTGGGCGTGCGGCGGAGCGAAGTCCGGCACGAGACTCTTCTTTGGCTGCTGCTCGTTCAGCAGTTCATAGTAAAAGTGACGCAGGAGAATCACCAGGGAATCACGTCGCATGGGCCCAGTGTAATGATGCAGAGCCGCCACATCCATGTTTCGCCCCACCACCCACCACGCAAAGGCCAAGTCCTTGGCGTTGAAACGGTCCAACACGACGCCGCGCGTGAGCAGGGACTGGTAGTACGCTACGATGGCTTCGACGATGGCGCAGGAAAACTTTACAACGCCTGTCACTGGTTGATTAACATGACTCTCCTCCCTTTCGTGTGCATGTTCCTCGTCACATGCGGCAACTTCTTCTCCCGTGGCAGCCACAGGCGGGCGGGGCGCCGGGGTTGTCGTGGTGTCGTTCATTGGACGCCGTAGCGGTGTGGCCCCCGCCTCAAATGCATCATGCTGGGTTTCTTGCGGCTTACCGCCACCGTCGCCTGGTGCGGGGCCTTCCCCAGGCACCGCAGGAGCCTCACCCCGTCGTTGCCCGAAATCGTGTGACTGCGGGCTCAAAGGCCCGGAGGCCATTTGTAACACTCTTTTGGAGGGAGAAGATCTTTGCATCTCTTCGCTTTGGGGGAAGCTACTTCGGCTGCTACTGTGGCCACCAGCATGCGGAGAGGCGGTCATGCGTCCCTGCGACGTTAATGAGGTAAACGCGGTGGGCCCAAAGAACAGAATTCGCGCCGTGTCGATCGCACACCCCTCATCGGTCTCGCAGGCCCTCGCGTCCGGTTCTGCCTTTGGCAACAGAATCAGATTTTTCGCCCGAATACTATTTACCGGCTCCACAGGCAGCAGTGCCTCGGCGTGGTAGGAGCGAAGCCGCTGGATGGTGTTGAGAGCGATGAAGTCGCGGCAACGGTCATCCTTCCAGGGATCCATCTGCGAGACGTCGGAGGCGTCTGCCACTGCCGCAAGCCGCCGTGTTTGTCGCTGCATGGGCCTCGCGCCGTCTCCCCCCTGCCGCTGCTCTCTCCCGCCTTCCCTCCTTTTCGCGCTGTGCGTGGCAGGGAGGCGCGGGGTTGAGGGCCTCTCGCCGATGCCGCCGCGTCCAGTGGCGCACGTCAACCCACTCGCCCTCCCTGGAACACCTCCCGCGGCGGGGTGTGCACCACAAAAAAATAAGGAAAGAAAAGAAAGAAGGGGGAAAAAGAAATGCGCCAAAATAAACAAACCCATCATTTTATTTGTGTGCATGTGGGCATGGAGAGAGCGCACAGAACCGTCGCCGCCACACGCCACGGAGAGTGAAGAAAAGTCACAGGCACAGTGAGAAAAGGGCAACGACCACCGGCATCAGGGAAGCCGGCAAACGCAGCCGGGAAGAAGAGGGGAAAGGGAAAAGGGGCAAGGGGAAAAAGGCACGGCAGAAATTTCTTCTTGCCACTACTTCTTCTCTGACCGCGCAGAATAGGAGCATCGCCCGACACGGCCTCGGCTATAGAGTGGCATGCCTTCTCTGTGTGTCTGCCTGTGCGGCTCACTGAGGTGGAAGGAGGTGGAAAGAGAAAAGAGGGGGGAAAGAAGAGAAAGTGGCGCGGCACACCCGCCGGCGGCAAGATATATAGTTGGGTCGTTCAGAGAGAGAGAGAGAGAGCAGGGGGTGAGAAGACGCCGCGGGCGCCGCGAGGGGGGGGGGAAGTAACGTTCAGTGAATGGCAGGCAAGAAAAGGAAAAAAAAGAAAAAAACCCGACACACACACACACACACAGACACAGACACGGAGAAAGACACACATGTAACTGCCTGTACATCACTGCGCGGAGGCACACGCAAGTGAGGCGGGACGCAAGAAAAAGTTCAGCTTTTGTCCCGCTTCTTTTACCTTGTCTTAGCTCCCTCTTCTTTATCCCCTGTCAACGGCCGCAGCCCCCGGGCCTCCGTGTCGGCCGCGCCCGCCTACATACATCACCCTACGTCGTGGAAGCACACCCGCAACGTATTGAGCGCCGCTGCCGCCCAGCACCTCTTCCTCCTCGTACATTTCCCTCGTCGTGTCCACTTCTTTCCTTCTGCGGGTGTGCGTGCCGCAATGCCGCTCTGCTTGGGGAAACACCCAAGTTTCTTCTTTTTTTTCCTTTTATTTCTCTTTTCTTCTTAGTTGTTGCTGTTGTAATTGTTTTTCCCTCGCCGTACCGCACAGGTGAAAGAGCACCAACACGAAAAAGAAGAGGGCCAGCCGCACATGGCAGCAGCCCGCACACACCTGCCCGGGGCAAGCGGGTAGCTGGTGGCGTACCTCACGCACCCGCCGCGGAAATGCGTTTTACTGTCAATGAAGCGTGCGGGAAAAAGTAACAACCGCGTAAAAACAAGAAGAAGAAGAAAAAAAAAAGGCAGATAATTTATTACCTCCCGCGGCAGAGTGCGTGTCACACACACGCCCACCGCATTCCGAGCCCCGCACCACGTGCGTGTCGCACACACACACAGCCTTAGATATATATATATATATATTATATACAACAGAACAGCAAATAGACACTTGCGCACGTGCAGTTTATTGCATGAATGATAAAGAAAGCAGGCAAAGCAAACAAAAACAACAAAAAAGAACAGGGAAACGATGCAGTGAGAAACTAAAGAAGGGCAGTAAGAATAAAAAGCAAAACCCCCCCAAAAAAAAAACAAATATAACGCCGAGAAATAGAGAGAGAGAGAGCGAAATCGTATCTTCCTTTTGGATAGTAAAAAAAGAAAAAAGAAAAAAAGGCACACTATGCTGTGCGCAAATATGTGTGCATACATTCTGGCTTCGCCGCCTCCCGCTTGCCAGGCAGGGAGGCACGCCAGCAGCGCCATCAAACTCGACCGACTCATGCGGGCACGTATACTATTCCCAAGGGAGCGACTGGGTGAGCAGCACTGCCACCCAGAAAACGAAACGAGACTATTTTCTGTGAGAGTCCGCCTCGTCTCAAGGCTGGCGTAACAAAAAAAAAAACGTTTTTGTTCTTCGCTCTTGTGGCTGTTGTTACAACACGGAAGATCTTACTTCTCTCACTTCCCACAGACACACACACACACACACGCACACGTACACACACACATACATATAAATACGTCACCTATCTTCGATATGCGGCTGCGCCAAACGCGGCGTCCATGACCCGCCTGTGGCCCTCTGCTGCGCACCCTCCCCTAGTAGTAGTAAACACTCCTGTTTCCCACAAACCGCCCGGTCTGTGAGAGGTCGTTGGTGGTGGGGAATGTTGGACGCGTCAGTGTGGGGTAGAGAATCGGCCGCTTCGACATGCTTTGCGGGGAAAAAGATCGTGACGGATCTGTGGTGATGGGTCTCCGTGGAACACGCGGGGCGTTCCGCTGCTGCCTGCGCAGACGATATAGCGCGTCGCGCTGGGCGGGGTTGGTTGGCACCGCCGGCAGCAGGTACTGCATGGCCTGCTGCAGCTGCGGCCGCACAGACGGGGATGGGGTGCGCGCTTTCGCCACCCTTGCCACCACCTCGCCCAGCCGCCGGTGCAACGCCGACACATCCACCGCTCGCGTGGGCTGCGGCATCACCGTGTTCGGGGCTATCCGCGGCGCCGGGTGCGGCTGATCCTGCCCGCCATGAGTCTGGCGCGGCGGCGAGCGCCCCCCATGCTTTGGCAGCTGCGGAAGCTCAGAGGGCGGGGGTTTCGGAGACGCGTCCCGCTCACGGCGTGGGCGCAGCACCGGCCGCGGGACCATCACCGCGGGGTCATTCCACGACGTGAACAGCCCCTGGCACGTCTCATACTGCCGCTGAATGCGCACGGGAGCCTGACGCTGGTGGTGCGGCGCCGGTGGCGGCGGCGTTGGCGTTGGCGTTGGCGGAAGCACGGCGGGGGCGAAGCGAACCTCGCGACGCGAGGCCCCCACGGAGGAGGAGGGTGACCGCGACGCCCGCCCCTTGCCCCGCGGCGCGCCCCCCTCCACCGCGCTCAGAAGCGGCAACGACTCCACCGCCCCCGCCACCACCTCTGTGGAGCGCACCCCCCGCTCCGGGGTGGCAGACGTCAAGTTACGCACGCGGGCCCTGCCAACGAGCACCATCGGACGTACGTCGCTCCCAGGGAGGAAGGACTGGTCCGGATAGATTTCGCTAAAGATGCGCCGCTCCGAACTCACATTCGGGGCAAATGAAACCGCAGAGAACAGCCGAGACGGGGCCCCAGCACCTCTGCGGGAACCACGTCCAGCCTCCTCCTCACGGGCACTAAGACCGAATACAGACTTGGGCTCGGCAAAACCCGCCTCCTCTCGATCCAGCACACGGGTCCCCGCACTTACCACTCGTGCATTGTCCTTCATCAGAATAACCGGACGCGGCACAGACGACTCACCACCACCACGCGAAGGCGCAACAACATCAACACCAGAAAGAACCTGCATAGGCTTCACATCCTGCGCTCTCCTTTCGGTCAATTCTGGCCTCTGACCAGAACCAACAGCAATAGACATGGGTTTGGCCTCCACGACGGACTCCTCCGCCGCAACAAGCACAGGCGCCTCGGCCTCCAGAGGAGGAGCCGCAGTCAGAGATTCATTCACCCCCGCGGGCCCAACGGTCGCTTCCAGCGGCTTTGCCTCCGCGGCGGACTCCTCCGCCGCAACAAGCACAGGCGCCTCGGCCTCCAGAGGAGGAGCCGCAGTCAGAGATTCATTCACCCCCGCGGGCCCAACGGTCGCTTCCAGCGGTTTGGCCTCCACGACGGACT